GGGATAAAACTGCTGATTATTTTGCCTTTCTATAGTTTGAGATGCTCACTGGTACACTACCTTTCCAAGGAAAAGATCGAAAAGAAACAATGACTATGATTCTTAAGTAAGTACTCCCTGATATAGATGTTTTGATGAGATTTTAAAATATATACTTCAAACTAAAAAAATGAGATTTTAGAGTGTTGGCTGTAGTATAAGAAATAACTAAGAAATTCATCAATATTACATGGTTTTAATATGAACAAGCTACATGAATTTAGAGTACTCATATTATCTTCATGTTAATGGTGAAATACTGAAAGTTTTACCCATGAGATTTGAAATTTAACAAGGATGCCCATTATTCCACTTCTGTCCACATTGTCCTGGAGGTCCTAGTCAGTATGGTAAAGCAAGCAAAAAAAGTAAAGTATAAGATTTAAAAAGAAGAGATAAAATTGTCATTATTTAGACAACATGACTGTGTCCATAGAAAAACCAGTCATCATATAAATTCTTGGAATTAATAAGAGTTTAGCAAAGTTCAGATACAAAGTCGATAAACAGCAATCTATTTCATGTCTGTATATGACCAACAGAAAATGGAATTTTAAAAGAGGATACTATTTACAGTAGTATAAAAAATTATCAAATACCTAGGGATAAATCTAGCAGAAGTTATATAAGACATCTATGCAGAAAACTAGAAAATTTTGTTTAAAGACAATTTTGAAAGACCAAAACAACTTGGAAGGGTATACCATGTTCACATTAATACAGACCCAGTATTGTAAAGATGTTGGTTCTATAGATCAATAGGAACATAATGTGAATATAATTTTGTTTTCTAGTAGCTACATTAAAAAAGTAAAGAGAAACAATTAAATTGTAATAATGTTTTATTTAACCCAGTATATCCAAGATGTTATTTCAACATGTAAACAATGTTAAAACATGATTAATTAGATACTATAAATTATTTTTTTCATACTCATTTGAAATTCACTGTGTATTTTACACTTACAATTTGGACTGCCCACATTTCAAGTGCTCAGTAGCCATATGTAGCTAGTGGCTACCATACTGGATGACAAAACTATAGTTTCAATGCAAATCAAATAAAAATTCTAACAACTTTTTTTGTGCGGGACTTGATAAACTGATTCTAATATGATAATACAAAGGACCGAGAAGAGCTAAAACACTCTTGAAGAAGAACAAGATAGGAAGATTTGCTTTACCAGGTATCAAGTCTTATTGTAATTAGGACAATATGGCACTGAAATAAGTATGAAAAGTAAACCTGTGCGATAGAACAGAGAGCCCAGAAACAGACCTACACATATATAAACACTTAATTTACAACCATTGGGAATTGCAGAGCAGTAGGGAAAGAACAGCCTTTTCTTAATAAATCATGCATGAAAAATTGAATATTTGTATAAAAAAATAAAACAATACAATACGTATCTTACATCATATATAAAAATTATCTCCACTGTATCAAGAACTTCAATCAATCAATAAGAAAATGTCAACTCAATAAAAACATGGGCAAGAGACTTAGGGATGTCACAAAAGAGGATATTCAATGGCCAAAAGACTTATGAAAAGATGCTCAACCTCATTAATCAGAAAATGCAAATTAAAACCACAATGAGCTATCCCTACATACTCACCAGAATGGCTAAAATTAAAAAGATTGACAATACAAAATGTTGGTGGGGTGTGGAACAGGGGCAACTTTCATACATAGCTGGAAGGAATACAAATACTTGTATAACCACTTTATAAAGCAGTTTTTGTCATTATCTTCTAAAGACTATGTATACACTCATCTACTTATCCCACTTTTATACATGTACCCAATTTATGAGAATCTAATATGTACTTGCACATCAAGAAACTACAAAGCTGTTCTCAGCAGCATTATTTGTAATAGCCAAAAAGTGGAAACTGGATCATTAACAGTAGAATGGATTAATAAATGATGGTGTATTCATGCAGTCAAATACAACAGTTGTTGTATTTGCTAATCTGTAAATATTTTAGGTTTTGCAGGCCACACACAGTCTCTGTCACATAATCATCTTTGTATTTTTTTCCAATCCTCTAAAAACATAAAACAGTTCTTAACTCAAGAGCTATACAAAAACAGTCTGAGGCCTTTGGCCCATGGGTGTAGTATGCCATACAGCGAAGAAAATGAACAAACCACAGTTAAATGCAACAACTTGGATAAATCTCACAAGAATATTGAGGAAAGGAAGTTCAGACACAAAAGAATAAATACTGTATGATTCTATTTATAAAGTTTACAAAGCAAGCAAAACTAAAACATAGTTTTTAGGGTCCATATTTAGATGGTAAAAGCCCGAGGCAAAATAAGGAAAGTGGTTACATTGAATGAGGAGTTCTGGCAATGTTATATTTCTTGGCTAGATGACTATTCACTGTGTGGTAAATCACTGAACTGTGTACTTTGAGTGTTTTCTTTTTGTTTGTTTGGGGCTTTTTTTGGCATTTTATGTTATTCTACACAATAAAGTTTTTAAAATATGTGCTGCAGAAATGAATGTTCACTGAACTTTCATTATGGAACCTTTATCGCTCAATCTACTTTGGTCCCTTCCTTTCAGCTAACAAACACTTCTAGTGTTGAAAAAAACCAAACCCTTTCTTTGACCTGGCCTTCCTTTCAAGTCACTACACCATCTTCTTGCATCCTTTCAACACAAAGCCTCTTTAAAGAGTAGTCTGTGCTTTCTGTTACTACTTTTTTGGCTTCTTTTATTGCACAGCCTGTTTGTCATTCATCCCCACCACTCTACTGAAACTGCTCTCATTATAGTTATCTGTAGTCTTCTGGTTGCTAAAACCAGTGGCACGTTGTTAGAAAAGTGACTCCTTACCATTCATTAACACAATTCATTTAACGGATGATCGAGTTCTTGCTGTGCATACTTGGGATGCAGTGTGAATAAGGCTTAGAAGATTTTCAGTGGTCTCACAGCGGTTACATTCTAGTGGGAGAGACAAGGAATTAATATTTAAACAAATATAATAAATTCACATAGTAACAGGACCTATAGGGATAAAAAAACCAAGGCATTCTGTTCTAATAGTGACCCCTTAATGTATGAGGGAAGGGGCAGGGGAAAGGAGCCATTTTAGATAGGACAGTTAAAGAAGGTCTCTGAGAAATATTTGACATTGTTGGCCATTCCCTCCCTCCTTAGTTTTTCCTACTCTCATCTACTCTGCCTCTCTAGCCATTCCGCTTTTGATCTCTATTGCTTGACCATTTCTTTCTGCCTGTTTTTCTTTTTTTAATTATAAAATTTTCAAATGTAAATTCTCAGAAATAGAATAATACAGTGAACACACATACCCATCACTCAGATTTAAGAGTCATCAAGATTTTGCCATATTTGCTTTGTCTGTTCCTTTTTTTCCTTTTTCTTTTTTATTGAAATACTTTAAGCATTCCAGACATGTCATTTCTCACCTACTTAATTCAGTTTGCCTTGCTAAAAATATGGATATTTTCTTACATAACCACATCTAACAAAACCAGTAATAATGCTTAGGTATCATCTAATACCAATCCTTAACCAAATTTTTCAGATTTTCTCTAAAACTGTGTCTTTACAGTTAGATTCAAATCAAGTCTACACACTCCATTTGGTTGTATTTCTTAAGCTTCTATTAATCTAGAACAGTCTACTCCTGTTTTCCCCCTGCCATTTCCCTGTAGAAAACAGGTCAGTTGTCTTCTAGAATTCTGCTTTCTGAATTTATCGTGTCCAAGGATGAGACCACCTCTCAATATCTGGGTCGGGGTGGAAGCATAAAGCTGATTTTATTGCTTACCATGGTAAAGGAGAGAGATGCTGATTCAGTAGAGTCTCTCTAATCAGAGTAGACCACTGATCTTGCACAGGGTTTTGGGGAAGGGTGGAGTTCAACAACTGGCAGATTTTCAGGTCCATAAGTGGGGTTGACATCATCTGTAAGAATGTGATTATTTGGGTGGGACTGTTGATCATTTGGCACTCAGGTGTGTTTATTGGAGTGAGTCCATTCCTGTTTGGCTAATTTTCAGAGACAAATAGCAGTTACTGTATGGTTGGTTTGCAAAAGTGTTCACCAGGCAAGTTGTCCTTGACCAGATGAATGGATTTAAAACCAATTGAAAGGATTTAAGACCAATTCTGGTGCTTCTCTTGTTACCATAGTTACATAACAATTAGTCTTTTCCTAGGAGTGTGGAAACTTTTTTATTCTCCTTCTGTTATTAACTTGTTCCCCTGTTCAATTTTTGGTTAAACTTTTTTGGCAAGATTATTTCATAGCTTGTACTGTGTGCTCCCTATTACATTATACCAGGAGTCTTACAATACCTGGCTGCCCCCACTTTAAGTTATAAGTTTCAGTGGTTGCTGCTGATTTCTCCATTGTATATTCCCTGTCAGGCTTTTATCTAATGGTTTCATCCATTGATAATCATTACTTAAAAAATTATTTTATAAGGAATTCAAAAATGGTGATTTTCTGTTACTGTTATTCCTTCCTCATTTATTAGCTGTTATTTTCTGAAACAACGAACTTTCCCTCATCAACTAGGGCCAGTTACTTGAAATAAGGCTCATCCAAGAAAAACAGAATAAATACTTAATTCTTTTCTTAATTGTTTCCAATTGTCAGAGCCCTAGTTACTTCCACTGGGGGTGGTGTCCAATGAGTTGGGTTTTTATGTTAGTTTTGACTTTACTTTTTCTTGTTTTACTATAAAGAACTCATGGGATTTGGTAATCAGTGTGATTCAGCCAATTGCATTCGTTATTTTTAATGCCCAAATTATTCTTTTCCTGAGAACCTTTTAAATGCTCTTCTACCTGGAAGAGCATTTAAACCTCTGGCAAGCTTTTCTTCCCCTCTCCACTCACTTGCCTGACTGATCTTAGTCTTTCCTATAAGTACTCAACATTTTAATTACTCCCAAATCACTCTTTCTTACATGAATTTACCAGACACCAGACCTATATTTCCATTTACTCACCTGCCTGGCTCTCCCAAAACATATCTCATACATGACTTCACATCTTTAAACTAACTTTATCTCTGTTTGCTGTTCTTATCCTCTTCTTATATTCCCAATTAGCAGCATTTCCATGTACCCTCTTTCCAAGCCAGAAACCTGGAAATCATTCTTGATTTCTTCCTCTCTCTTGCATAACCAAGTATTCGCCAAATTTTATCTCAGAACTATTTCACTATTCAGCCCTTACTCTAAATTGTACTGCTTACAGTGCTCTGGCCATGGTGACCTCTTACCCACACTTTTGGGCCATCCTCTTACATAGAATGCCTACCACCTCTTTCACTCCATATTGTTGTCTACTACCCTTGGAGTTACCTTCTTGAAAATATATCTGGTCATGTTAGTCCACTGTTTTGAGACCTGTGCTACATCCCTGTTACTTAATATAGCAGTGTTTCATCAGTTTTGTTCAACAGAATCCTAATTGTACAAGATGTTATAGATATTCTCTGAAAAAGAGGCAATAGAAACAAATGTTTAGAAAATACTTCTTTACTCTAGATTTCTCAGCTTTTTATATGCAGTATATTTTATTCTATGTGTCCAACAAGTAAGTAGTAGATAGCATTCTAGAAACTTATTTGGCCATGAAATATTTTTTATTGTTCTTGCTAAGTATCTAGAGGGATTAATCTTATTCAGTAAAATTTGAGGGAGCACTGGCCAAATAATTTAGCCTTTAGATAGCATTTAAGGCCTTTCACAATCTCCCATATTAAATTAGATGGGATTAAATTACTGTTCCCTTAGCACTCTTTGCATATGTCCTTCTGAATTTGTCTCCTAATGTACTAGGATATCTATGTCCATCTCCCCCACTGACCATGGGGAGCTATCTTTATCTCTGTATCCTCAGCACTTAGCAGTGTCTGGCACATAGGAGTTTAGTAACGACTCACTGAATAATAAATGGATCTATTTCTGAAATAAGAATTTCTCTGCTAGCCATTTTCCCCAGCTCTGTTATTATTGTCATACTTATAGGATCATTGGTTTCTTTAATTTGTAGGTTTGGAAAAAGAATAAAATTATATATTAGAGCTGAAACAGACCTCCAAGCTCACCCAGGCCAGTGATTTTCAGACTGTGTGCCACGGAGTCTTTGATATTCCACAGACCTCTTTCCCATCCATTCCTCTTCCCTGCAGTTAAAGGGAATGGGAAGGAAAAAGTGGCATATGAAGCACATGTTCTCTTAACAGTTTTAAATGTTGGGTTTCTTAAATTCCTTTTGAGAAAGGGTTCCAAGGTTACAGTTTGGGAGCCATTGGTCCA